ATCTCAGGAAACTTCACAACCATTTCCTAAACAATGAGATGTCAGACAGATTGTGTGGTTGCCTCAAACCTGAGAAGACCTTTTGATCCTGCTAGCAATTTTTGGCCACATGGTCTCAGTGTCAGGCTCTTTCCAGATGCAACACTGCAGGGATGTGCTTGTACTGGCCTATTCTGCACCCGTGAAGGAAGCCTCCGCTGTCATAAATGCCACAGGAAGATCTTAATTTAGGTAATTTACAGCTTGGATTGTCCCAAGGGAATATTATCTTTCTAGTTTATATCTCTAGGATGTACTGAGCATTTTGTCAAAGCGATCGTAACAAGAGGCAGTTAAATAGGGGCTCCTTTGATACTTTTTCTCAAATGAGAAGAACCAGGTGGTTTTGCCTGCGGCTGAGATCCAAGAAGGTAGCCATGGCTTTTGTTTAAGCCATAATAAAAGATGAAGCTCTTTGTCTTTACTTGCAGATTCACGTAGATGCAAGATATGCTTCTGCCACCGGAGGAATTTATTTGTACTGCTCTGCTTGCGAAGGAGTAACCTGAGATCAGAGGAACAGGACACAATAAAGTAGCAAGATTTGCATTTTCAATAGCTGAGGACCGATTGCCCTGCATTGGAACATTTTGCTTTTCCTGAAAAAGAAATGCCATTACTTGTTTGGGACTCAGTGTTCAACAGGACATCCCAAACTGGAACAGGAGAGCGGTGTGCCTGATCAGATTTCTCTGTTCTGAAACTGCTATTATCCAGACAGTTGAAACATAGAATCATGTCTTGATCTGCTTTTGTTCTCTAGCAGTGTTTGCACATTAACAGTGCTCTGCATCAAATCCGAAATAAACCCACTGCGGTAAGTGCATTTAAATTGCAGCTGAATTGAAAGCCTGCATGCTGTCTACCCATGTAGTCCATCCATGCAGAACATGTTAGATTAACCTGCCTGTCCATAAAGCAGACCAACCAACAAACTGCAGGTTTGGTACCAAGTAAAAGAATCTCTAAGCTGAGAGTCGCTTTTCAGATGTTGCTCAAGTACAGCTTCCCGCTTCCTCCTGCTGAGCTACAGCTGTCCAGATGTGGAGTCCCAAGGAGCATCTGAGAAGCCGCAGGTTCTTTAGCTCAGCTACAGAAATGTCTTCAAGGACAACACCAGACACAGCTCTGGCTAGCTAAGGGAAGTGAACCTGGACTTACAGGTCGTGAAAGGAATTGTGCATAGACGCCTCCCCCATTTCTGCCATAGGGCAGTTTGGATACTTGCCACAGGAAATAAGCATTGCTGTGGGTGGATGTACCCCAATTAATGGAAAGCGAATCTTTGCTACTGGGATATTAAACATAATCCGACCAATTTAAGAATAGTAACACCTGGATACACATCTGGGTGCACACCTGGTTCTCCCTTCAACGAGATGTTAGTGCCTGGCTCTTGGTAGCAGAAAAGTGAGAATGGGGTTGTCCTCTGGGTCCAATTAAGGCTCCCATCCCAGGGCTACCCTGCAATTATTACTATTTTAACATGCTACTTATCTTGAAGGGCTGAACATCCTAATTGCAAATAGAGATTTGCTCTGGGCTTACTTTCAGTCCAACATTCTATAAACGTCAGATTTTTATTCTCTTTAGTGATTGAGCTGCCTTTGAGATTTCCGTGTGAGTAACTTTAACTGGGAGCAAGTTAATGACCTTCTGCCATGTTGTCTTTGGGAAGCGATGGGGTTGACCTGGAACTCTGAAACTCCCTGGAAAGAAGACGAGTGGATGAGTGGGCATGCAGCCCAACTGCTGATGACCCCAAGGAGCGCATTTGTCTCCAGGCTGCCTCAGAACAATGCACCCCACACTGAGATCTTTATACATGCCAAAATCCCAGGAAAACCCCTGACTTTGGCAGTTCTCGCGCACACGAAGTGCCACTGCTGCCCTCTAGTGCCCAAGAGAATATGCTGTTCCTTTTAGTCCAAGCTTGCTGCGTATTGGAAGAACTTTGAAGGGACATAAAAATAAAGTCCTTTTCAAGTCCAAGTTAATATCTGAGGGCCAAATAGGCAAATACATCCAGTTTTCTTGGCTAGATCAGCAGTGGTTTGCCATTGCCTTCTTTGGACACTGAAAGTTTAAATCTGTTTCCTAAGAACTTGCGTCTTCCTGCTTCATTATAAAGCAGGCTGTGCCAGCCCTTTACCTGTGTACAAAACTGACCTAAATTAATGGCCCAAGCAATACTAGTTCCCAGCTTTTTGGAGAAGCTCTGCAAATGAATGTATAGAGCCTGGGGAGAAAGTTGGGACCCAGATCTTTATAAATGTAGATCTTGACATTTTTATATGTCCTAACGCTTTCATTAGTGTTTGCATGGTTGAGAAGCAAAGAGTCTTACAGATGTTGATTGATACAAATCTCAAACCCTGTTGATTTTTCCCAATGTCGTTGCCCTGAATTTCACTTCAAGGGATCTTCGTTAGCCCTTAAAGTTAGCCTTTTAAAGGTGGGCAGTTTATTATAGCATAAGCCAGCCTTTCCTAACCTTGACACTCTGGAGATGTGTAGCCCAATTCACAGAAGTTGAATTCCATGCCAGTGGGGTATTCTGGGAGTTAGTGCACACTTCTAAAGAGTCCCCAGATTAGAGAAGGCTTTCCATAAATCTATACATTTTTATGGATCATGATCAGACACCTGAAAAATAGACTTTAAAAAGAAGTATTATATACAAGGCTATTTGTGTTCTTTCTCTTGTGCTTCCCTGGCCAACAGTTATGATGCAGAACTAGTCATTGTCTCCCATTTGCAAAAAAAAAAATCAGAAAGATTATTGGCTTGTAAAAGTCATAGCTTCGTTGTCAAAACTCTAATGCTCAGAGTAGGAGAAATAAATAAGAAGAGCTTGAACTTTTAAAGCCAAATAGAGCAACCTTGCGTGAAACACAAGATTATTTGGTGTTACCCAAAGGTGAGAGAGAGAGAGATGATTACATTGATATCATGGAGACATGGTGGATGATTCCCATGACTGGAGAGCAGCAATGGAAGGATGCAACTCATTCCAAAGGAGCAGGATTAAGAGAAAGCAAGGAGGAATTGTCCTGTATGTACAAATATAAATTCCTGCTCAGACATACAAATGAATGGGCTTGGCTCTCAGAATCCTCTCAATCAATCAACCGTCCTGCTAGTTTGCTTGCTTCATTTCTGCCATTAGAAAAAGGGGGGGGGGTAAGGCTAGTAGGTGAACTGTTAGGCGCAGGTGGACTGTTATCTGTTTCTCAGGAATGCCCAAGGCCATACCAGCGTGAGACCAGGAGACGACTGGTGATGTGTGCAAGAGAGGCTCCAAGATAGAAGGGGGGAGGTGAAATGGGAAAGAGGATAAAAGCAACTTCTGGTGTGCATGGGCTTTAGTTCCAGCAATGCTCTGGTTCTGTACACTACTTCTCAATAAATGAACTTTTCTTTGAACTTGCATCACTTTCAAGGAGAGTTGCTTTCGCTGGGAGTTGAGTGCTGCAGTTTCTTACATTGGCAGTGCTATGGAGAGCGTTAGATTAAAATAAGTACAGAAACTCATAAAAGCAATATTGTCACTAGAGCTTCTTATCATCTTCCAAAAGCAAGTTGCAGATCTTTCTAAGAGATATGAACTAATAGTGATGTGAGATTTTAATTATCTCAACACTGGTGGTGAGTTGGTCCTTCTAGGAAATTCCAGATTTACTTGCTTAACAACTTTCTCCTTCAGAGGGTGAAGGAAGACATAAGAGAATCAGCTGTCCTTGACATGATGCTAAGCAATTGGAAAGGCTTAGCTGAGGAAATTGAAGGAGAAGGAACATTGTGTAAGTGTCCATGTAATACTAGAACATTTGATTTTAGGGGAAAGTAAAACTGAGGATAGTCAAACATTTATCTTGGACTTTAAACTCAAAGGAATGATAAGTTGCATCCTGTAGCCAAAGAAGCTTATGGGAAGGGAAGCTCAAGATGGATGGGAGAAGGTATTAAAAGCACAACTGCGAGCAGATCCAATGAAGGCAAAACATGGAAGACAGCAGAAAAAGCCAAGATGACTACATAAAAAAGTTAATTGAAGATCTGAAAACAAAACAAAGCAAAAATATACAGTGGTGCTTAAAAGTTTATGAACCCTTTTAAATTTTCAATGTTTCTGTATAACTATGACCTAAAACGTGATCTGTTCTCTACACCAGTCCTAAAACTAGATAAAGAGAATCCAATTAAATAAATGAGTCCAGAACATTTTACTTGTTCATTTATTTATTGAGGAAAATGATCCAAAGCTACATATTTGTGTGTGACAAAAGTATGTGAACCTCTAGGATTATCAATTCATTTGAAGGGAAATTAGGGCCAGGTGTTTCAATCAATGGGATGATAATCAGGTATGAATGAGGAAGGTCCTGCCTTATTTAAAGAACAGAATTCTGGGTATTCTCTATCAAAGTCTGATCTTCACATCATATGTATGTGGAAGTGTGTCATGGCTCAAACAGAGGACCTCCAAAAAATAGTTTTGACTCCATCAGTTCACTGTCAGGCAGATTGAGGTCAAATGGAAGCAATTCAATACCACTGTTACTCTCCCCAGGAATGGTTGACTGACCAAGATTACGCCAAAAGCAAGGCATGTAATACTCTGGGAGGTCTCAAAGAACCTCAGAGTAATGTCTAAGGAACTAAAGGCCTCTCTTGCATTGACGAACATCATTGTTCATGAGACCACCATCAGGAAAACACCAAACAACAATGGTGCACGTGGCAGAGTTGCAAGGAGAAAGCCACTGCTCTCCAAAAAGAACATTACTGCCTGTCTACAGTTTGTGAAAGACCACATGGATAAGCCAGAAGGCTACTGGAAGAATGTTCTGTGGACAGATGAGACCAAAATAGAACTTTTGGGCATGAATGAAAAGCATTATGTTTGGCAAAGGGCAAACACTGCATTCCAGCATAACAACGTTACCCTATCTGTGAAACATGGTGGTGGCAGTATCACCGTTTGGGCCTGCTTTGCTGCCTCTGGACCAGGACGACTTGCCATCATTGATGGAACCATGAATTCTGAATTATACGAGCAGATTCTACAGGAAAATGTCAGGGGCTATGTCCATGAACTGAAGATCAAGAGAACTGGAGTTTCCACTTGTCATACTGCAAGACAAGTGGATTAGGTATAAAATTAGTTCAGCTTTCAAAAATTACGGTAAATTGGATTAGCTATCTTGCTACACACACTTACACACACTTTAGGGATAACTGGTGCTGAGATTTATGTATATATAATTATGGTTACTGGCACAAGTACTATTAAAGACAGCAGGACTTTCTTCTAATAAAAATATGTAAGATTGTATCACACTGGTACAATCACCACATCAAAAGATTTAAGTAAGTATTCTATTTTAGATATGTATTTGCTTTCTAGCATTGGAGCTAACAGGTAAATAAAACACAAAGTACTTCCATACCACCACTCTCCAACCCTCAAAAATAGTTTTGAAAATGATCTCCAATCTTCTTGTCCCTGCAGCCTTACAATGCTGAGAATCGCTGACTGACCTGCTTCAGGTTCTGGAAAAGCAAAAGTGGCCTCACCCCACTTCATACAAAAGGGAAGCTGTTTGTAGTCCCATGCACGGCCTTCCTTCACATGATGTTCACTTGTCATGTTCAAAGTACCTGAGCAATTCCTGTAAGGAGATGCTGCATAGCAGTCCAATCAACTTTCTCCTTAAAAGACTTTTCAGGACAACTGAGACCTAAGGGCAAGGAAATGGGGTGAGGTGAGATGTCCTTCTGCAATCCATACATTCCTCTATCCAAGTAGAAGTCTTTTCAGCAATGTTATCAAGGTCCATTTCTCAGACTAGGCAATTCCTCTCTTCCAGTGGCTGTCAGAACTGTTACGTGTAACGCTATGACTGAATAATTAAACACAGTGGAAGAAAAGCAGACCATCCCTTAAGAGCTTGTTCTTGAATTGCCCAGAGCCTCATATCTGGGGGGGAAGGATGAAGGCCGTTTCAGGTGTGCTTTCCTTGGCCAGGCCCTCTGGCTCTTCTCTGAGAGGAAGTGTCATATGCTCCACCTGTTCCTCAAAGTCAACGTGCTTCCTCATAGACAGAACGCTTGAAGAGGCCATGAAAGCATTTGGCCTTCTGCAGCCTTTGAAGAGGCTCCTCAGATATCCAGCAAGGGAACTGAATTTACGGTGGAAAGAGGATGTTTGTCTACTCCTGTCTTCAGCCAGTTCATCTATAACTGCATCACAGGGGTCCCTGTTCTGTTCTTGTGCTCCATTTCCTGTGCCTTCTTTCTGTTGCTTACTGAGCAGGAAATAGGCTAGACTGGTGAGCACTAGCAGGATGCCTGGAAAAGAGGGAGGGAGGG